TCATGTCTCTCCTTATCTCTTGTATCTTCCCAATCAAGTACAAGGTGGTGGTCAAGTTCTTCCCATAGTCCTTCTAAAGTTGCAAGGTAAGTTGCAACAAACATATCCCTTGTCTCAATGCAACAATATCTTGGGTTAGCCTATAAATTCTTGCATTGTTCTTCCGGTGTCCATAGGTTTTAGACACCTCCCAAATCTTTGAGGCAGTAGGGAAGTGCTGAACAGTCCTAGCCACTCTTGGAGTCATTGAGGCAAGCAGCCAGCACATAACAGTAGCATTTTCCTTACGCCAGATTGAGTAATCAGCATCAACCTCTTTAGGTTCCTTCTTCTGTCCATCTAAATAATCCATAAGTTCCCGATAAGTAATGAAAAGTTTGGCTGCAACTGACCATTCTTTGAAGTTGTATTCATCTAACAACACACCGGTGATCTGCAAGTTATGCAAATTTGTGTTTTCCAAGTTTGAAGACCTCCCACCAGTCCTATTGTCCTTAGAAGTCACTTCTCCTGATATTAAAGACATATTCTTCCTCTTACAGTAACCACAGCTGTAATCTCAACAAGAGGAACAAGATTTCAGACTTACTGGAGCTGTTACTAGGCTGATAACACCCTCTGTAACTGGACTGAAGCACTCTCTGTAACCAGCTCTGGGCTGAGAGCAGTTTTGAAGGTCAAAAAACACCACTTCTGGAAGCCAAACCTGGGTTGTGACCACCCTCTGCAAACTGTTCAATCTCCCAGACAACAACTAGGACTGTCCACTCAGTCCTTCTACCTAGATTTGTTCTACACAGATCTCTCTAGTAGCCGAATGGCTACTAACTGCTGCAGAACCACTGATAGGGTATAAACTTCTGGGAAAAACTCCCCTTGGGCCCTATAGCCAAGAGAAACCATAAACACAGACCTTTCTGTTGTCTACGATCAGTCCTAGGGCTTCTTCACAGTAGCAGAACTGAGAGAAAAGAAAAAAGAACAGAAAGTGGAGCTTTGATACCATGTTTGCTGAAGTACAGCAGCAGATGAGGAAGAAGAAGAGAAGAGAAGAGAAGAAGTTTGAGAATGGGCAGCAAACTATCTCAGTCGGCCCTAGAAGCTATTATATATATTTACAATAAGAAGTTACAGAAGTAGACTAGAATGCCCCTAATTAGTGATGGGGCACCTAGACATAATGAAGTAAAATAAAACAGGTTTAGGCCCAATAACTAAAGGCCCATAACAGACTAAAGAACTTTACTACTAATGGTGATTATTTTCCTGTATGTAGTTGTAATGATTTATTTCTATCCACTTTTGAGTCTACATCCTTACATCTCCCCAAAACCTTTTCTGTGCCTAAGTTGACTACTAGTCTTATTTCTGTTGGACAACTTGTTAATGATGGCAATAATGTTTTGTTTACTCGTGATGGTTATCCAGGACCAGAACACTGGAGAGCTGAAGGGGAAGGGGCATAAGCTTGGGAGGTTGTTTGCCCTAGAATTTGAAAATAAGAAAGCTTCATCAGACTCTTGTTTGTTGTTTATTACTTCTTGTAATAATGTGTGGTACTTATGGCATAGGTAAAAGTCATGTTTTGCCTTTTCCATCTTCTACTGAACATGCTTCTACACCTTTTACCTTATTCACAATGATGTTTGGTCGTCTCCTATTATTTCACGCTTGGGCCACAGATATTTTATGTTGTTTATCGATGACTGTACTAGATACACATGGGTTTAATTTCTTTGAAAGAAATCAGAAATCTTTCCACATTTAAGAACTTTCATGCTATGGTTATGACCCAATTTAAAAGTACTATAAGCATCTTGAGGTCAGATTCAGGGGGAGAGTACTTTGATGGTGAGTATGGTGAGTTTCAAACCTATCTCAAACAACATGGCATTCAGTCCCAGAGGTCTTGTCCAGGTACACCTCAACAAAATGGGGTATCTGAGCGCAAGAATCATCACATTGCTAGTATAGTGAGATCCTTATTACAAGACTCCCATGTTCCCATTACCTTTTGGGTGGAGGCGATCTGCACTACTGTACACCTCATTAATATTCTTCCCACTTCTGTCCTTGGAAATTCCTCTCCCTATCAGGCCTTGTTTCATCGTCCACCAAATCTGTCCATGCTTTGTATCTTTGGTTATGTCTGCTTTTCCCATCTCCCTCCCCATGAAAGCACAAAGTTAACAGCCCAATCAGCTATGTGTGCATTCATGGGATATAGTATGGAACACAAGGGATTTCTCTGTTATGATCCTAAAGTCCGTAGATTGTGCATATCTTGTAATGTCATTTTTCCTGAGAACCTTTCCTTCTTTGAATATATTAGTAAACTACTTGCACCATCCTTTTCTATTTTGCATCATTTTGGATCTGTAGGTGATCCTCCTCCTCTCAGTCTTCAGCAACTTTAGGTTTATTTTAAGAAGCATCCAGCTCACTCATTGACTATGCCTCCACCTCCAGCACCAATGACTGGTCATTCTTCTCCTCTATCCATCACTACTGTAAGTTCCTCTTCTCATCTTGTTGACTTGCCTTCACCTGTTCCTTTGTGTCGATCTTCACATATTTCTCGCCCACCTGACCATTATGGCTTCTTTTCTAGTCATAGCTCATTTTTTATGTTTTGTCCTCCACAAACATTCCCAAGTCTTACAATCAAGCTATACCAGTTAAGCATTGGAAAGATGCCATGGACAGAGGTTCAGAACTTATTGGAGAATGATACCCAGGAACTTGTCTATCCTCCCCCAGATGCCTCCATCATTAGTAGCCGATGGGTTTACTCAGTGAAACTCAAATTAGATGGTACTCTTAACAGATATAAGGCCCACTTGGTTGCTCAAGGCTACAAGCAAGAATATGGGATTATATATGATGAAACTTTTGTTCTAGTGGCTGAAATGACAATTGTTCGTTTACTTTTGGCCATCACTACTCTTAGACAATGGATAGTTCATCAGATGGATGTCAAGAATTTCCTTCATGGGCATTTACAAGAGACGGTCTATATGAAACCACCTCCTAGATACTGTGATAATCCTCTTTTGGTGTGTAAACTAAAGAAATCATTGTATGATCTTAAACAAGCTCCACAAGCTTGGTTTGACCGCTTCCATACAGTGGTGTTGGAGGCTGGTTTTCAGCAAAGTGCTTCAAATTACTCTCTTTTTACCCTCAAGCGAGCACAATGGTTGACTCTCCTCCTGGTATATGTTGATGATATCCTTATCACCAGAGACGATGTGAACGGTATTAATAACTTGAAGCTCCTTCTCAGCAACTCCTTCAAAATGAAAGATCTTGGGCTGGTCACCTATTTTCTTGGCCTTGAAATTCAGCGATGTCCTCAAGGCTATTTTGCCAACCAACAAAAATATGCCTCTAATTTAGTTGCACTAGCTCACTTAACTAATTCCAAACAAGTGGATACACCTCTAGAACTTAACCGTAAGTTGAGTATGGATGAGGGTGAGCTCCTTCTTGATGCTGCTTTATATCGACAGCTTGTAGGTGGTCTTATCTACCTGACTATGACTAGACCGATATTTCTTATGTTGTCTAGCTTGTGAGTTAGTTTGTATCTGATCTACGTCAGCCCCATTTTTCAACAGTTCTCTAGATCATTCGTTATATCAAGGGAATAATGTCTCGTGGCTTATTTTTCTCATCTTCTTCCTCTACTTAGCTCCGAGCTTATGCAGATGCTGATTGGGCAGGTTGCCCTAACACTCGTCATTCTACTACTGGCTAGTGTATCTTTCTTGGTGATTCTTTGATTTCTTGGAAATGCAAGAAACAACAAACGGTTTCCAAGTCATCTACTGAAACAAAGTATAGAGCAGTGTCCTCTGTATGCAGTGAAATAGTTTGGCTCAAGGCTCTACTTCATGATATGGACATTGATCACTCATTTGCCATCTCTTTGTTTGCTGACAACATGAGTTCTATCAAAATTGCATCCAACCTAGCATTTCATGACCATACTAGACATATTGAGGTAGATTGTCACTTTATCCGCGGCCTTCTTCTTGCAGGTCACATCTCTCTCCCACATGTCTCCTTGGGCTTGCAGCTCGTAGATCTCTTCACCAAAGCTATGACCAAAGCCCGACATAATTTTCTTATGAACAAACTGATGCTTGTTACCCAGCATCAGTTTGAGAGGGAGTGTAGAGAAGATGGAGGATAGTTCTATAATTTTACTTTCTTTATTGTAAACTAGTAGGTGTGTATATTAGTGTTCTGTCTTGTACAACACTATACCTTTATTTCTTTTGTAAGGACAATCTTGTCCATTCACTTAATAAAAATTTTATTTTCTAGGTTGGTTCGATCATACTGATCAACTCTAACATATCTGAAGTCTCTTGGTTTTCTCCATGCCTTCTCTCTTTCACACAAACTAACACCATTAACCACATGTATTACCCATGTCACATAACCTTAAACCATAAAGCCCAACTTTTCTGCTTCTTTTATTTTTTTCACAATCCAAAACTCTAAGAAATGACTAAGACCAAAATTATCAGACCATTCACTCCAGTTCCTTATAGCCCACCTATTAGTTGTCCAAAATGAATTAAGGAATTCTTATCCATCACAATCATCCATAATGTTTTCTATGTTTCTCATAACACGACATGAAACATAATGATGCATGAAACAAGTAGGTTAACACCCAAAGAAACACATAGAAAGTTAGAAACACTACATACAAGGTTGTCTAAGACTATTTTCACAATAAGTGCAGAGAGCATCCAATAAAGTTGAACAGAAGGAGTACACAATAATGACTTAGTATTAACAGGGTCTTCCTTAATTTAATTTTTAGAGATTACATGTCAAAAGCTCATTTGAATAGCTTTTTTTTAATAAGAAGTGGTGGAACAGTTGCCTGCTCACTAGACACAATTCTACCTGAGGTTACTGGGAGCTTGAACAGAAATTTCACTTCTTTATTAGTAACCAAACAAATTAAGAAATCAACTTACAAGTGAAATGAGAGCTTCTATTACTACATCCATAATAGAACTTTGAAGATGTTGACTTCCATATATTGATTGGTGCATAATGCCCCCCTTTCTGCAAAGTTTTTGACTTTAGTGCTATATAAGGAATAACAATTCAATTAAACAAGCAAAGTTGGGATCATAACTTTTCTTATCAACACAAGATACAGGGAACTGATCTGTCAAGGAGGGAGATCTAACATGAACCTAGAACTATCAGACGGTGAACTTGAGGAAATATGGTTCTTATACACAAGTTACATGCTTGGAAAAAAACATATTTTTTCAAACTATAACTTCTGGCTTTTTACATTGACAGATTTTACTAATTCTAAGAATTACAGTGCACCCATTTTAATCAAGTTTAGATCTCAAGAAAAATGGGGAAAAGTACAGGGATATGAAATAATAAGGTGTTTCTACAACATCTAAAATGGTATATATGAGATGGGAAATGAATACAATACATTTGCTTATTATTGAGAACCCCAAACAGCGTGTTTCCATTTGGAAATAATGCCATTGCACATTATATTGCCATTTCTTTTACTTCTCCATTTAACTCATTTTTTACATAAAAGC